GCATACCTAATCTTGGTGACTTTTTCACTCTTTCCGAATATTGGACTAATAACCAGAATCCAGTTGTGACGTTTACTGTCCCAAGAAGTGATAAATAGACTTTATTCAAACGTGACTACCAATTCTCGTGTTTTTTTTTTAAGTTTCGCAGAGATGTACACACGATCTTTCGCCCCGTCTTTGGCCACGTTCTTTCCCCACCGAAAAGGACGCATGGAAAACAAAGAAGAGCAGCCAATTGATCAGATCCACATCACTGTGAGCATATCCACTTGTTTCTTTCATGTCTTTACCGAAACGCCTTGTAAACGACTTGCTTCTGCTGCTGCCTAAAACTTGGAGTTTGAATTCCGGAAGGGGCCTATCTTGTGGTTTTACTCGTACCTCATCCTCACAAACTAATGAGGAAACTGGCTGTTCAATAAGGCAACTCACAGAATTGATATTCGACCGAAAATTGTCGCAGCAATTTGAGCAGTTAACAAGACACCCTCGCACACGCCAATTCCTTCGCCTTATCAAAGCACTTTGCACTATGCACCAGACGATTGAACACCAAAAGAACCCACATCAAGCAACTGTCCAGAAGCCTCCGCGAGATGCGGGTTCTCTTCGCTGCGATCGCGCGTTGGAGGGTCAACTGCGTCATGCGATTCTCGGCGTGATTCTTGAAGCACTCGTAACCCCGCAGGTGCTTCGCGTGCAGCTCGTATGGGCGAGCGAAGCCCCGCCCAATAACCGAGATTGGGAGAAATGCTAGATGTTTGGGAGCTTTAAAGTACAGCTCATGGTAGCCTCCGAGAGCGCTGCGCGTCCGGTTGGGTTCGCGAATTAATAGCGGGAGAAAAAAAAAGACTGACTATTTGTCACCCAAACATACAGAAGCTGTATTTCTAGAGCAGAACCTCTACAAAGAACATGTCAGAGAAGTAGAATACGTGGGGGTTCTGCAGCTCTCATTGTAGAGCAGCCCATGTATGACATAATACACTGTTTTTCATTTTTTGTTATCCTGTTACTTTTCTCTAATAGATAAAGTGTACTCTGTCCAGGCCGGAATCGATCGGGACAAAAAAATACGGTTTAGGGAGGTTTCCATATGCAAGGTTGATCACTTTATGACACTTGAGATATTGACGTTTCTTCCCTAAAAGTAAATTACATGGCTGTTATAATGATCAAAATACATTAACATACAACATTTCTAGAAGTAATCACCAATAAATGAATATTAAACATTCATTGACAGCTTGTTTGACACCTTGCTGACTCATCACACAATGCGTCACAACCCAGTACTATACTTGGATTTATTCAGAGCTGCGTGAGAAGTAAATCAGCCGTCGAAGATTTCATCCAATCGGGAGCTTGAACGTCACCATAGTGACATAAGATCCCGATTGGATGATACCGTTAACAGCTGATGAACTTCAAATGCAGCTCGAAATAAATCCTTCAATACGACTTTCAGATACTTTGAGCGATGCGTGTCTCATCGAGGTGGAGTGATATTTCATCGCGCAGCAGGGAGACGCGGGAATATAAACCATGGCCGTACTCCGCGCTCTGAGAGTCGGAGGAGGGGGAATTCCCCTACGGCCAACGTCTTGAGAGATAGGCGATCCCGAGGGCGAATTCTGCGCTGACAGCTGAAGCCCCTCTCTTCAATTTCCCGCTGTCACGGGGATCAATAATTTAAAACAAGCTTGCAGATGCATTCATTCCATTAAAAACATCTCGTGTCTCTCTGCCAATTGCACTAAACTCATACGAGTTCAGTTTTATACAGATTTCCCACCTGCCGGGCATGAAAAACTGCTTCGTTTCCGCGTTGGAGAGGTTCCGTTTTATGGTGTCTAAAATGCCATTTAACTTCAGGGCAGGAGAATATTTCCGGTTAAGACAGGTTTCCGGTTTGCACAGGTTCCCGTTTACACAGATTTTACTGAATTTTACTGCAAGATCAAATTCAGTTTTCTCCAAAAAAATTGCATCATATTTATAGTTCAAGAATGCCTTTTTTATTTCTACATGTGTATCACCAAGCATGTATTGCGATATTTTTAGTATTTTCTACTATATCCTCCATAATTTATTCGCAAATAGACCCGATTTTTTTCCTTTATATAGGGCAAAGACAAACGAATATTACTACACTGTTTTTCTTAGTCACTTCTAAAAATATTTTTAAAGAATACATTAACATGCTGCAATTGTGTGCAGATGAGGGCTTCTTCAAACAGCGGAGATACAAGACCATTGTTTTTCTGACCCCCAATTCAAAACTTGGAGACAAAGAATTTTTTATTCTCTCTATCAAGAACATTAAGTTTTTTGTAAAGCATACGACAGTGAGCAAGTATGACAGAATGCCAAGCTAACTAGCTTTCCTAAAGAACTGGAGTATGTAGAAAAAAGCCTGAAATATGTTTTAATAAATATTTACTACAAATGATTATGAACAGTTTTTCCTGTAAACATTCTCCTGTTTTTTTTTCAACCTCTCCAAGAGCATTTTCATTTGCTGTACAAATAGTCCAAATTTCATTTCTACAGCTTGATATGGATTGAACTGCATACCAGACAATTCTTTATTTGAAGGGGCTATTATAAAAAACCTACTGCTAAACCAAATTTCACATATTCAAAATTCAGATCTTAGAATTTCTCCAAAACACTAAAATGATCTAAATATATTATTCTGTGCTTTCTTTATAGATCCCCATGTTTATGTAATTTATGTAAGATTTAATGGGACACATCACTGAAGACACTTACTTTCTGTATTTAAGAGCTCTCCAGCGCTTCTAGCTGAAACAATCTCTCTCTCGCACACATGCGCACACCTGAGCACTGTATGTCCTCACCAGAACTATCCTTCCCCTCCGAAGCATTCTTTGGCTCTCCTTCTTCAGGGCATCACCTATCGGCTACCACTATTACCATCTTCATCTCAACCTAAACCAACCTGTGCACTCCTCACTTGCACATCACTAAACCCTCTCACTGCCATTCACACATTTATATAATTGATCAGAGATCATGATACCAATTAATGTAATTATTCTTTACAAAGATTTATTCAAGAATTCGATGTATTGTTTGCCAATGACAAGAGAGGAATTATATATTAACACTCTTTATTGTCTTGCATTGTCACACATTTCTTCAACTCCCTAAATTTTCAAAAATTGCAAAAGGTCAAAATGTCTTCCTACAACAACAAAGATTGATATTTTAAACTTTATTATTTACTTTCATTAACTCAGTTTTTCAAAAATAGATCTTCAAATAAAGACATGTTAGATTTTTCAAAAATAAGTAGTTCTTGCATGGAAGGTAGATTATTTTAGAATAATTATTTTCTCAAAAAGGCTTCAAACTTCATCTTAAAATGTTTTCCTCATATTTGGCAAAGATCTGTAAAGAAAGTGGCACTGGTCCCATTTCTGTCAAACACTATAGTTTTGAAAAAAGAAAAAGTACAACTTTATTAAGATATTTTTTGCTTAAATGACATCTGTTGTAAAAAATCAGTTCTTTAAAAAAGGTCATGCAGAACGGAACACCGACACAGTAGATCACATTCCTCAGAATAACTTTTCATAACTGGGTGTATGGAACATTTATTATTGTTGAAGTTTTATTGATGAATTACCTTTAAATAAATTAATTTTTTGCACCTTATGTGCAATTATTGGTATTGAGTTTTACAAATGATGGCTGAGACGTGTAAATATGGAGAGAAATTGCAGTATTATAATTTTACATAACTTTTACTGCTGCAAGAAAGTACATGCTGTTGTACTCTTAGCACATGTAATTTCTTTCTAAGACAGTGATTTCTATTTCTTTTTCTCACCATACAACAGAATAATCCATTCTTGGTATCTGGTCACTATTTTTAGATTTGAATCTGTCAATAAATCTGGGGCCTCACTTACTGTTATACTTCTGATAACAGTAATTTTTTTTTCTGTTATTTTCTTAACACAGTTCATCACTCTGGGGAGCGCCTTTGAAATCTCATTTTTTTTAAACTTCACCTGTCTGCTGAAGCTTGAGCTTAAAAAGCTCCAGAAACTACATATACTTTCTTCCAGAACTTCCATTCTTTTTTCTTTTCTTCCTTATCCCATTCACATACACACACACACAAACAAATATACTTTTTAACAATGTTAACATGTCTATTGTGATGTAGTTCTATGTATTCTATTTGCTCTGAGAAAATTGAATGTTTTCTAATTATTTTGAATTCACATTTGAATTTATCACAATAATGGCATTTCAAGCCTCTATTTCAGTTCAATGTAAACCACTAACAATCACAGAATTTTAAGAACCAATAATTCCAAGAATGGATGAAGAAGATTTTACAGCATTAAATTGAATTTCTTCTTTGTTTTATGGCTCAACAACACTTAAAAATTTTCCTCAAGCCTACGTTTAACACTAGATGGACATTTTTCTTGACAATGGGGTATACACTGTTTGAGAGTGGATGATCAGCCCTTGCTCTGCCCTAAGAAGGGGGAATAAGAGCAAGGAAGGAAAGGAAGTATTAGAAGGGTTGGGTGTAGTCTGGGACCCATTTAGTCATGTTAACTGTAAAGTAGTATTGAATATGAAAAAGCCAGGATCTTGTGAGCATCATTTTGCAGTTGCTTCATAGGTAATAATATGCACAATGGCCAAGCAAATGGTGTTGCTTTTTTAGAAAGCCTAATCACCAGTGAAGACCTTGTGCGTCACCCTGATGCGTGTTGTCATAGCATTTTAATTAAATTCAGTAATCAGCATAGGACATCATTATCATAGTGTTTAGCATTATGGGAGAATATTTTGGGTGTTACTAAATATAATGGATAATAACATTCGTTAAAATTACTCATTAATATCAATTAAAATATTAGCAAGCAGTAAATACAGAATTAAGCGAAATTAACAGCAATTCTTTCTATACAATGTAAATAAAAATATATTTAAAAAAATGTTACCTGCTGTCATATACTGCTCAAATTTATATCCCCAATGAAAAAATCTTTTGTCATGTGGTGTTGCTTGCTTCTTTCTTTGTTTCTTTTCTTCTGTGTCACTAGCACACATATATACAACTCCATTCCATTTTGTGGCATTTATTATCCATCCCTCTTGATTTTCATATGGTGTGCAGAGTATAGTAGTAATCAAACCTCGATAACACACTATATCTCCAATTCTCCTAAAATATAATCAAAGATCGTAAGAAAATAAATCCTCTGACTACACGTCACAAACCATAAATACTTACTCATCAATTGGGGGCTTCACATTATGTGAAATCCACTTCAGCACATTATCAAGTTTCTCATTAATTTCTTCATTCTTCTCTATAGTGTCAGAGAGTTTGTCGTTTAAATCAAATTTTACGTTTTTTGGATTTTTGGGTGCTTTAATGTACTTCAGCTGGCTGAGGTCAGAACAATAAACTCTTTCACGGTCCAAGCTGAAGCTTCCTAGGACGATTGGTCTTTGGAATTTCGGAAACGGGCCATTCCGTGGGACATCTAATTTCAGAATACATTTTTCTTCGGCGATTGGACTATCCATGATGAAAATTAAGACATTTGTCACTGGAAAGTGTTAATAAATGGCAAAACTTCTTTCAGCAAGGCTACACCAAAAGTTAAGCACTGTCAGATTAAATAAATAGCCGGTACGCCAGAAAGTAGGATTGATTCGAAATATCCACAGCATGTCACTGCATTTTAGAATTCTGCGGTATTTCACTTAACTATACGCAATCCGACTAAAAAACATAACGCTCATTTACATAAATGTCTAGTACAAAACAATCCTTCAAAAACGGAAATATTATCGCATCAAACTCGCGAAGACAACCGGGATTTTATTGAAAGCAGGCATCCGGTAATTTCTGTCAGCTATACACGCTAATCACCAAACCACATGGATGCCCATTGCCTGAAGCAGGCATGGGTATTGGGCGGATTCGGCTTCGTGTACTGTTGTGTAAGTGCAATGCGTAACACCGGTTGGTTGGTAAAGTGCGAACTACTGTTCTATGTTCTCCACCGTCGGCGCACAAGATCAGAAAATTGAGGCTCGACCAATAAGACAGTGAGAGGAGTGAGAATTAGCGTTGTCAAGTTAGCAGTACTGCTATATTTATTTTAGAGCTCCTGCTGTGCCCCTGCTGGCACGTCAAATTGACTTCACGTCTGGATATTGACTTTCTGGTCAGAAGTTTTTTTATTTGAAAAACTCCAACACCACGGCAATCCCAGTTACCTCTTCCCTTTCCTAGTAGTAGTGCAAGTCTACATTATATGCAAGACATTGTTTTTGTGGTTTACATAGTGATTTTGAGTCGTGTAATGTATGAAAAACATTCAGTATATTTCAAGTAAATGTATAAATAAGTATAATTATTATCATGTCTGTGTTACATCAAACAGACCCAGAACTCGAGGTGAAAGTTAAGAAAGGTAATGTATTTTTAATCGAAATTTTAAGTAACTTGAATTAATTTTTCCAACTGTAATTTTCCATTTTTCTAGCGACCGAAAGAATATCTGAAAATATGCATATAGTTGCAAATGAACCGTCCCTAGCGTTTTATCGCCTTCAAGAACATGTGCGCAAAGCCCTACCGCCGATGGTGGAAAAGCGCGTTGAAGTTACAAAATTGCATCATGAATTGCAAGGACGCTGTTATGATGTTGAATATGCAGTGAGGTTAGGAATAAGTAGATCTTTTTGTTGCCTAAAAATGTCAACATCACAGTGCCATAATGACTAATTCCACCCAATATGTACATTACAGTGCTGTGAAATCAATGGAAGGAGCCGAGGAAAATTTTGACAACATCCAAGAGTTATTAAAAAATGCTGTATTTCTGAAGCAACAAATAAAATACGAAGAAGCTCGCAAGTATGAGTTCAATATTTTTACCTTGAATAATGATTTCACCTCATTTTATTTTGTATTTAAGTTTACATGGCCTTTCCAGTCATTAGTAGAATTCAGTTATTTTGAATGATGTGAATAAGCGTAGTTAAATTCTTCTATCATAACTCAAAACTTACTCATTTGTTTGCATGTTTACTTCTGCTCTTTGGAGCAAAAGAGGCAGGAGTGTGTATTTAAAAATAATCCATTGTATGGCAGGCACATATTAAGGAATAGTAGGCTTTTTGTAATGCCTGAGGTGCTGTTTCTAGCTTCAAGAACCAATCGTGCGTAGTATTCCTTGAGTAGTAATGTGCAATATTATTGTGTTTGAATTTGAAAGTAAATTATTTTATTTTTATGAACTATTGATATTGTTAATTAGTAATTTAGTTACTTGTGAAATCATTGACTTTTTTTCCATTAACTAAGATAGCAATACAGAAAATTTGAAATTCAATCTTAACTGCTTCTTTTGCTTCTGTCTCAAAGAGTAGAGTCTGAATGTTTGTGGATTGATGTTGCATGTTTTCTCTGTAGGCGTTCCGCCAATAAAAGTATTTACTCAGCCTAGAAGCCACTCCTGTCCTCAATTCAAGGTAATCAAATTGCATCCCTCGTGAAGCTTTTTATTTTCAGAATCTTGTGTAGAAATTGTTCTTGTCTACAAGAAAAGAAATTAAACATTAATTTACCTATATTCCGAGATATTCATCAGATTTGGTTACAAAGAGTTCTTTTTTCACAGTCTAGTATTTTCATGTTTTGAATTATTTTTCAGTTATTTGCATCTTCTGTTTAGTTGCATACCATACAGTGACATATTTGTTTACCCACAATTTGAAAATGAAGGGCAAAAATGCATGATTTTGCATAGTAGGATAATTTACATTTTCAGTATTGTTTCTTAGATGAAAAAGTATTGCTGGAACATTGAAAATAGTTATTTTACATAATCACTAGTTAGCAAGCTTAGCAATGTTGGAAGCAGTAGTTGTTTTAGGACTTTTTCTGTTGCACAGAATTTGTTTAGTTTCTAAACCTTGCCATAAAGTTTTACATTCAATAATTACCTGTCATTTCAACTATATCAAAAATATTTTGTAAACCAATTTGACCTTCATTTTCTGAAAATGTTTATTTGATGATAAATCTCTAGGCGTGAAAATTTATATTACGTGGGTTGTCTCCTCATTCGAGATGAAATGTTGCAATTATTATTCTGGAGCTTCCGAATTTGGCCAATATCTGTCCTGCTTTATTCAGAGATTTTTGAGACATTACCTCAGAGGTTTTCGAAAATGAACAAATTTCTTGCATCCTTCTAATACACGCTTTAATAAAGATTTTAAACATTGATTCCTGTTATTACAGAAACAAGAAAGAGTCATCTTCTGTTTACAAACGCTTATCTGCACATATTACGCTTGATCTCCCCGATTTGCCAGAACTCTCAGATGCTCTTCGTGAAACAGCCAACCGAGTGGAGTCAATGATGGCCCACGCTCGACATTCTGCAGGAGCTGAACTTCAGCGCTCACAAACAATTCACCATTGATTTGTGTAGAACACCATTTGGATCACATTTATTCAAAGTAAGAAACACTGTATGTATCGTAAAATAAGTGGTCATAAAACTGATTCATTCAATAATTGATATACGTCTGCAAAGGCAACAAGTTCTTTCATTACTCCTACATTTCTGAATGTTTTCTTTTGTTTTGTTTACAGATGTAATGTGGATTCCTCAAAGGAAGCAGTGAACTGTAGTGATGTATAATGGTACAAATGTAAAGCAGTTGTATGGTGAAAAAGTAAATACTAATTTTTACAAAGATAAATGATGCATATAGCTGTTTAAGACAATTATGTTCACTATTCTGTGATATTAGTGGTTATATTATAAGTATAACCCATTCTTTTTATTTATAACTACCCTATAATTGCTGTCTAATAATTAAAATATGATAGTGTATTGAAACAAGTGGCTATTTTATATTTATCAACCATTCTATATTACTAGTTTCCAATAACTTTTCCTTTGATCCCAAAACCTTAAGCAAATAAATATGGAAAATAATCAATTCATTTCAATAATTAGTAAAACTAATTACCACTAGTAAAACTCAATACCAATCATAGTATATTGTGCCTAAATTTAATTCATTTAAAGGATATTCAGCAGCACAAATTTGACAATCCAAAACTGTTCCATCCACTCAAACATCTTCCAATAATGAGACTATATTCGAAGAATTTCAAACTACTGTATGATAGCGTCCCTGTTGTATTGCGATCTGGCAACTCTTGAAAGATTCTACCCAAAGACGAATGGGAAATTTTGTGAATCGCAATTACATGAAACTGATCGTATTTAAAAAATGCTTACCATTATTTAAGGAACACATTTCATTAAGTTAAAATTTCTCTTCAATTTTGTTCTTTTGCAATATTGCAATTAGTTCCTCACCTGGACTTGAAATTCAAAAACAATTTTACGTCGCAAAATTTACATGATTCCTAAATTTAACTCAATTTATATTACAAGAAATGTTAATTATTACATTATGATCAATCATGATTTTTATGCACATCTTTACTGGCTCACAGTGGTCTGCTAGGTTTTCGTTACCATTGTTTCTATAAGCACTTCGATGTTATGCTGTCACCCTTTGCTACTGCATAACAATCACATGTTATATTGTAATATGTTCCAGTATTAAATATAATTTAGATTCAAACTAAATGTAACTGTCATAAAATATTGGTAAAAGTCATACATAACATTGAAATGTCATATTTCCTTTCAGTCTTCTAACTAGCTGAAATTACAATCGTATTTTGTATTCATTTTATAAAATAAATATCGTGGATCATCTCAAAATATATAATTTAATTATACATGATTTCATTGATTACTTATTTGAATTACATATTTAAATCAACTATATAGTAAATAGCAATGTCAGAAAAAAAGCAAGGAAAAAAAAAACCCTGCGAAATTAAAACTATAATATTTCCAGCTTTTTGCTCAAGAATGTCCAGTAACGTGCTGAAACGTCAGCAACTACCAAATAAAATTATGTAAAGTATGTGTTAAATCAGGATAAAGGTATTCGGAGAAAATAGGAAATAAAGTTACTCAATCAGATCTTTAAATTTATATAATATAATTAATTATAAGAATGTTTCTCAAGTTTCAAATTGGAGTTCATCTTCTCCTCCTGCTACTCCTCTTTGGCCTGAAACAAAGAACATACAATTAAGCAAAGGCACACATTTTGATAAGCAATTCACGTAATCTAAGAAACGTCATAAACAATTTTCTGTGAATTCATAACTTTATCACTGTTTTCAAAGGTATTTCTTCTCGACCTCCTTTGTAAATGTATTCAGCTATGTCGAAGTGAGGTTAATTCTGAATTGAAAATCAATCTTCAGCTTTGGGTTTTTGCCTACAGACACCTAAGTTTCAATGAATGATTGAAGTGATAGTTATGTAAGTGATTCTAGGCATGTCAGGCCAGGCCATTACTCCCATAACCCTTGCTGTGTGGCCAGCCTATTTTTCAAACATTTACAGGGCCTTCATCTGGGCTTATATTCTTCCCTCCATAACCATTTCCTAACACTGTGATTCAATTTGATGAAGATTCCTCAAATCAAGTAATATATGTAAAGAAGTTGATAATAGAAGCCCTTATGATGGTCCAATAAAGAGCAGATATAATTCTAATAAGTTTAACTGTTAACTTAACTAACCAACACTGGGACCCATTCCTTGAACTGTCAAGGATGGCTCCAAACCCCAGCAACACCCAAGGCATGACTAAATTAAAAAGGCCCAGTTCCACCTACAATGGAATATTTTTACGAATAATACAGTAAAACCCCTCTTTTACCCTTTTCATGGGAAGCTAGGGAAAATGGTGTAAATTGCGGGAACTGTTATTTATATAAGAGAAAACAGATTTTCTTCAAAACTATGAGTACACTGTTCTTAGATACACACAATCAACAAGGATTACAATATGCAGTATTAAATTATAATCAATATTACACGATCAAATTGAAATCCGACTTAAATTTACAACATCGGAAATCAAAGGTGTATTCACTGAAGCAGTGAATTTTAAATGTCACAGAGACCCTTTCAAGTGTCTCTGCCATACACTGGGTCTTTGATGATTTAACAATGCACTGATTGTTGAACAAAGGGAGACATTTCTATTCTAAGAAAAATATGTGAAGGTAACACATTCCCAAAGTCATAAAAAGTTTGTTTTCGACAGATCGTAACGATTTCCAACTATTAATTTTTTTATTTAATCATGTATTTATGAAATAATAGAAAGATTGGTCTTGAAACTAATTTCAAAATTAAAAAGGTACAGAGAAATTCATACTTTGATGTTTGAACTTTTAAAGAACGAGAGAAAAAAAACGTTTATTTTAGAATGAGAAAGTGTGAAATTCCAAAGGAGGATTATGTGAAATAAACAAGTGATAATGAGGCTACCTCTTTTAGGCCTGTGTCACATAAGTGTTGTGGTCACGCACGTCACCTAATATTGATGACTGAACACATCACAAAACATGTGACATAGATTAACACTATCTATGCCAAAATACACACGAGCACTCTTGGCGATATGCATTGTGCCCACAGCTGAAGCAAGACGCTCAAGCTACAATGTAAGACAAGATAAAGTGTGTTTTTTAGCTTTAACGTGCAATGAGTATTGACAATAACTTTGTGTAGGCCTAGCTGCTCAATACTGATTTTCACTATATTTAAATCTTCTAGTGTTCATGTAACATTTCATAACTTTATAATATTGCACCATTTCAATAGACTCTTATGGCCATTTTTAATATAACAAGGAGATGGGAAAATGCAGCGACATTCCCCTTTGTGCGCAATGCACAGTGTTTTCCAGACGGTGTTGTGGCAAGCAGACTGTTGTAAATTGCAGGAAAATTGAAATTATACTAAAGTAAAAGGCCAGTTATTTATAACATTACGAATATACAAACACATGGAACTGACAAGAAATGTTGTAAATGCCAGGAAAATGTAAATTGTAGGAACATAAAAGCAGGGTTTTACTATATAACATTGAATAATTCATTAAAAGTTAGATATAATTGAAGGTTAAAAATAAAATGCAATATTCCTCTCCAAGAAACAAAACCTTAAATACCTGACCATGAACAGTACGTTTTTCTCAGACTTCATTATTTAAACTAATTTTCTACAATTTAATTTTCATTTGGTTACTATTCTTTCATTTGTTTCTTAATATTCACAAGAATAAATTGAGTTTTTTGAGAAATTCTTCTAAAAAGTGACTTAATGAAGGAAGATCACATAAATTATCAGTAACCTGCCTTAGGCAACACACAGACATTAAAAATTATGAAATGGGGTACTTACTTCTTTGGTCCTTTAACAAAGCACCAATCCACCCCTATTGCCTGACCTAAAATGTCAGCACCGTTTAGTGCTTCTCGAGCAGCTTGAGCTTCTTTGAAGGTTTCATATTCTACCAAAGCATAGCCCTAAGAAAGAAAGCATTCCAAAAAACAAATTACTTTGTAAAAAATATCTCACAACATTCTACTTGAAATAAAGGATCAAAATTCCTTAATGAGAATATACTACAATAATATCTGAATGCAACCTGAACTATGAGTGCTTTTTAAATTTCTATGTTAAAAATTATTCAAATTGAATGCAATTCTGGTAAACA